AGAGAGAGAGATACTTAGAAGATTCAGAGGAGTGGGAGGAGATGTGTTCCTATCATCCTAAATCAGTGATATAGGATCAGTTATACCCGAGTAATATATTACACATGGTATTTGAGCTCCATGAAACCACTAGTACAAAGGCAGGTTGTTGCGGACTAAACAGCTCCCTGTGGATCCACTAAGGAGCCTGTCCTCATACATATCTTTGACTCCATGGGGAAATGAATCCCAAGGTTCAAACCAAAGTGGAAATGAAGTTCTGGAACAAAAGTTATCCATCAGCTGCAGATTACACGCAGTGCGGAAGGATTATTTAATTTGATTCTTGCCTCATATCTGCTCTTACTCAACTGTGTGAACATGCACAAACTCCTCAGTTAATTAAACTGACTGTCAATTTAATTCTTTATATCACAAAGGATTTCACCTATATGACCCCTAAGATACAGTTAGCATGAAAATTTTGTTTCTCTGTTTGAAATGAAAAAGACGTCAGCTTTCCCCATAGGACTAGTGTTGGCTTTTTATAGCTATTTTATACATCATAGCCCAACCCTTTACAATGGCCTCATTAAATGTGTGACTTTTTTCCTTCCCTTAAAGCTGTTGGCTATTATATGGCAGTTCCAGCCTGGGTAGGCCACAAGAAAGACCTTGGCCGACTGAAACTTCTCCTCCCTGACCTGCAGCCCCAAAGCAACTTCTGTTTGCTCTTTGATTACCGGCTGGCTGGAGACAAAGTAGGGAAACTTCGAGTGTTTCTGAAAAACAGTAACGATGCCCTGGCATGGGAAGAGACAAGAAGTGAGGATGAAAGATGGAAGACAGGGAAAATTCAGTTGTATCAAGGAACTGATATGATCAAAAGTGTAAGTGGGAAAAAAATCATTAATATTTACATTCTTTTTTCAATGACTTAACAAACAAAACAAACACTTACGGAAGGACCTAGGCATCGGAGGATACAAAGATGAATAACACTTTTTCTCTACATTTAAAGAGCCGATGCCCACTCCTATACTGGAGTGAAATAGACCAGGAGATTAAGCAGCACGACTCGCTCACGAGGCTACTTGTCAGGCACATGCGTATCACGTTCTTTGGCAATGACTGGCTTGTGTGTCAGGTTTCTTGCACGAACTTCCTCCCACCAACTTCCTCCCAAGCCAAGTGATACATTCCTTAATATGTAAAAGAATGTTTGCGCATTCATTCTATGCCCAGAATTTAGCACAATGAATGGCAGCTAGAAAGTGATTTTTAGAATGTGTTTTGAACTGCATTGAGTGGCTATTAGATTCCCCGAGACCACCCTCAGGTTCAATATTGCCCTAGAAAGACTTGTAGAACTGAGAAAAGCTGTTATATTTACAATTATGCTGGCAGACTAAGGAGTCCGTCTGGCTATCACCCAAACCAATCAACAGGGAAGTGGATGAAAGACGAACAGTTTCACTTTTATTTACAGAAAAGCCAGCAACTCCGGAAAACAGCCAGGCTATCTCCTCAAAGACCTGCTCTGCCCTCCTCTTTCCCTTGGTTGCTTTTTATTCTCCCAGTGAAACTAAACCTCAGCAATATATTAGTCATCATAGTACAGGTTAAACAGATTCCCCCTCATAGGTTACAAAGTTACACAATATCTTCCTATCTTAAAGAGGTTATATCTTCAAAGCATTTTTATTCTAGACTGAATTTCTTGTTAGTCAACACTTTACTGGGTGCACAGAGTGCCCTGGGTCCTTGGCCGGTACCATGGAATCCTGTTCCCCAACCTATCTATGAAAGTAGACCTTGGAAATGAATAAACGATCCCAAGATGTTGGCATGTAGGCCCTCCCACCTTGATAGGGCCTGACCAACCGCGTCCTGCATGAAATGGCCATTCAGGTTAACAGTGGCTGGTAACAGTGATGGCTTAATGAGATTAAAATCAGCAAAGGGAAGAGGCACGTGGGCCAGACTCCAGCAGAGACCAGACACACACTTGCAGCTTTCCTCTTGCGGAGTCACAGGAACAGCTCTTAATTCTCCTAGCAACCATGTATGACAGTGAAATATCGCCCCCCTGGGGAAGTTCACTCAGGCCTTGGTGTCCAAGGTTTTAGTTGGAGGTTGGCCTACCCACATGACCACTTGTGCACCTAACTGTAGTTATCCAGTCCCCAGCCTCTCCAGAGTCAAGTTGATACCATGTGACCCACACCCTTATCATAAATCACATGATAAGCATAAGATATGTCATGTGGCCCAAGGCCTCAGGTAGACAAAAGCACTCATAATCAGGTAGGATATTCCAAGGGCTTAGAGCTGATCGCCTATGAATTAGCAAGAATCAAACCTTTCTTTGGAATATGTAGGGCAGGCGTCCTCTAACTACGGCCCACGGGCCACATGCAGCCCACTTAGGACATTTATCCGGCCACCGGGTGTTTTTGCCGCCACTGTCTGTCCTGCTTAGCAGCTGACTCGTCCCGGGGCCTGCAGTCTGGCCAACGGACTGAGGGACAGTGAACTGGCCCCCTGTTTAAAAAGTTTGAGGACCCCTGATGTACTGTAGGGTTTGGCCAACTTAGACCTGCTGAGTTAATTCTATTTTTTTTTTTTTTAGAGATAGTCTCACTTTGTTGCCCTCGGTAGAGTGCTGTGGTATCCCAGTTCACAGCAACCTCCAACTCCTGGGCTTAGGCAATTCTTTGCCTCAGCCTCCTGAGTAGCTGGGACTACAGGCACCTGCCTCAACACCCGGCTATTTTTTTGTTGCAGTTTGGCTGGGGCCTGGTTTGAACCCTCCACTCTCCGTATCTGGGGCGGGCGCCCTACCCACTGAGCCAGAGGCGCCACCCTGCTGAGTTAATTCTTCATTACACAGTGGGTTTAACAAAGGCAAAGAAAACAGAGTTTTAAGAGAAAGTTGGCCAATGGGATAAAACAGTAAGAAAAAGCAAATAGGATAAGCATGACAAAGAGACTATTGAGTTTGACCACCAGAAGGTGGCTGGTGATCTTTGCGGGAGTGTTTCTTTGGAGAGAAAGAACCAAAGGTCACACATACTATGGAAAGATAAGGAGGGAAGGGATTAGAACCTGGGGTCAGCCACTGTGGACCCTCGTGAAAAGTTTGGTCAAGGTGGGATGGCGAAAGATAGGGCAAAAGCCAGAAGGATGTACATGAAGAGGTGATAATTAGTAGATCCACAAATTGGAATTCTATTTATACTTCGCTTGTGAAAGATGATGATTGATGGAGGTAAAACCCTATTTCTCGATAATAGGCATCAAACTAGAAAGCTAGTCTCCAGTGTGTCACCCATTAAATTTAACCTCTGTTCGTTTACTTGTCACACTTTAATTAAAGCAGAACATCTTAAGACATGACTATAAATATGATAGAAGTCTATGTGGGGTGATAGTTAATGAATTTCCTGACCCCTCTTCCTCTTGCCATGAAAGCAGCGGTGTTTAAGACTGATACACACATTAATTCAGATTTATTCTCACTGCAGTACATTCAAAATGATAAAATCCAATCCACACCTTTCCCTTGCTGTATCTGTGGCATGGTTTGGGTACTGTGGCACTGAGCCACGCTATATATGGGTGACATCCCCTGTGGGAGAATTGAAATATGCCTCTGCACAGAATTCAGAAATACTTCCATGTTGACTAAATTCACGTGCTAGGAAATATTTTTTCTATGACATGGTAGCTTGTGGAGAGGGTATACCAACCAAAACAGTGATTGATTAAAATGCACCGTTTTTAAAAAAATATGTCCCCCAAAGAGTCTGGCCAGCAATCACACTGTAACCCAACAGTGCTATGTGAAGACAGGTGCTCAGACCCCGGCCCTGAATCCTTCAGTCCTGTGGCAAACAGTGCTAGGGGCATTTTAAAAGTGTCAATTGATATCATTTTGGATTTATTAAAAGTTTAGAGAAACAAAGAGAAATTACTTTATTGAAAATTAGTGAAGAACTGTAATCATACCACAGGAACACAAGGGCCTTCATTTTTTGCATTTTACTTTCCACGTGAATACATATTTTAATCTTTTTATAATCACAGTACACATAGGTTCATGGTGAATTTCATTTTGATACAACAAGTATGCATGTCATTTTAAAGAATAACATATTACAGATTATTCTTTTGTTTCAAAGTACCCTTAAGAGTCTTTGAATGAGAATCATTGTGCTGTCCTCTGAATCTGCTTGTTCCTGGTATTGAGAATTATAGAACCCACTAGGCCTCTTCCCCCCTTTTTGGGAGACATATGGGTGGCATAGGAAAGATATTTCTCCTTACAGTGAATGTTACTGGGTAGATGCTCCATAAATCATAGCTATTATTATTTTCATAGTTGTTGAATTTTTGAAATATTTTGTGTTTTCTCTGATTATAGAATTAACATGTACTGTTTATTTTGTTAAGCATTATAATACTGAAAAAACTCATGCGAATATTTAACAAACATTTAACTTAATCATATTAATTTTAAAATATATTGGGATAAGCGGATGATTATAAAATATATTGGGATAGGCGGATGATTATAAAATAGTCACTGTATATCCTTAATTTTATTAAATGAGTCCCATCATTTTGTGTCCAATTTGAAGATAATTTTTTATTATGCATCCTATGTTCTCTAGACCTTAGAAATTTCTAACATATAAACAAGTTTGTTTCTCTTTTGACTATTAATAAATTTCTTAGATAAAAACGACCTTAGCACATTATGAAACATTTTTCAACACATGAAAACAATGATATTCTAGATGCTCTCCAAATATATAAACTGATATTTAGGAAAAAAAACAGTTATGTTACTACAAACTACCAACATCTAAATATATCAAAGTAATTCCCTTTGGACTACATAGTTTTCTATTGTATGTTCATGGGAAAATTAAATTTCTTCTAAACTGGCTTTTATAAATAAAACCATAGAACATTTTCTGGGTTTTGTTTTTCTTTTTCTTTGAGTGAGAATTCCAAAATTCACTTTTAAACCTGACCCTTATCAGCTTTACGCACATTTTCAGAATTCTTTGCTGTGACCCTGTTTCCTCTGAACATAACTCGCAGCGTGGACACTTGGCATTTGGAAAATGTGTGTTACTAGCATACGGGTGCATTGAATGTCAAAGCTGATTTCTAAGCAGTAGGGACGCATAAACTTAGTACTTGTGAATAGCTATTAAATAGTTTGATTATCTCATTCTTTTGAATACTTTGAAGTAATTTTTTAATTTCTTCTCCATTATTAGATCATTTTTGAAGCTGAACGTGGCAAGGGCCAAACCGGAGAAATTGCAGTGGACGGAGTCTTGCTCGTTTCAGGCTTATGTCCAGATGGCCTTTTATCTGTGGACAATTGAATGTTATTATCTTTACATTTGGCTTTTTATGTCAGCTCCTTGTTTTTTGATATTGCATCATAGGAACCCCCCCTTCCATTTTAGAAATACAAGCTAAAAAGTTGTCCCAGCAGAAATGTTATTGTAAGATGCCTCTCTTTTTATCAGATATGCCAATATTTGCTTTAAATATAGTGCACTGTGTCTTCTCATTCATAGCTAATTTTTCCATGGTATGTTATAAATTGTGGAAATGCCAGTTCATCTTTCCTTCCCAGCGTATCTGATTTGTCTACATGAATTGATGAACTTCTCTATGTAACATTTCTAGAATAACAAAAACAAGCACGGAAGAACATTTAACTGTGTGACGTCTATGGCCGTTCGTGGAAGCTATAACATCAAAGATAGACTTTCACTTAAGTGCCTCAGCCTGATGTGTCGTAGCCGAGCTTGTGTATTTCAATTCTTTGTAACAATGATATCCAAATAATTGGCTAATTGCTTTTGTTCTGGTTTAATTCCTATTTAAGAAAATATGTTTACATCTGTGTGTGATTCTATGTTTACTTCTGTGTAGGATTATTTCTTTTTCTGAAAAATGTAGTTTATATCCTTTTCTCCATGAAAGTACTTCACATTCTTAAAAATTTTTTAAAGTACTTTCTCTGATGGGGCCTCATGACTGGAACCCAGATGAGCATATTGTTAAATTCAAGGCCTCAAAGAACTACCTAAAACCAAATTTCCAGGAGGAAGGACTCAGAGAAAGACTGATGCCTTATATTCTATTTCTCCTTTTTTCCAAATTCAAAAAGACCTTTGTGTGGGAATCCTGAGTGTATTCCTCAGGATCAAATTATAGTCTGCTTAAGATTCTGCATCAGAAACAGGTCCAAGACGACTCCTAAACAGAAGGTCCCCCAGATATTTGCTCCTCAAAGTAATCAGGTATTGAGCTATGGGAGGATGGAAAGAGAGAAGGTGGTCTTCTTACTAACATTTAAAATTTATAGCTTCACTCTTAAGGGGATGTTTTTAAATGCCAAAACCCTTATAATTCTTCTTCGACAAGGTTCTCTTTATTTTTATTTATTTATTTATTTTTTTGAGACAGAGCCTCAAGCTGTCACCCTGGGTAGAGTGCTGTGGCATCACAGCTCACAGCAACCTCCAACTCCTGGGCTCAGGTGATTCTCCTGCTTCTGCCTCCCAAGTAGCTGGGACCACAGGTGCCCGCCACAATGCCCAGCTGTTTTTTGGTTGCAGTCGTCATTGTTGTTTGGTGGGCCCAGGCTGGATTCGAACCCGCCAGCTCAGGTGTACATGGCTGGCGCCTTAGCTGCTTGAGCCACAGGCACCAAGCCAACAATGTTCTCTTTAATAAAACTAGTATCCACAATATTTTAAGATGGGGGACCACATTGTTTTCGTCTAGTGTGAGAGAATTTTGGCATACACAGTCTATACAGGACTCTAAATGTGTCTGTTTGCAAAACTGCTAGTTATAGAAATCCCCCAATAGTGTTCTTGCTGAGACCAAGTGAAAACTGCCCAGCAAAGGCACATAAGCCCACAGTTTCATAAGAGATAATAAAATGGTTGTTTTAAGCCACTAAATTCTGGGGTGGTTTGTTACACAGCAAAAGCTGACTGATACAAGTGATTTCTCCTACTGTGGTAGAACTTAAAGAAGACCCCCTCTCTCTTTGTGACTAAGGACATTTGAGAGCATAGTTGTGGCTTAGAATAAAGGAAGCTGGAAGGGAGAATTTACAGGGAAAGACAGTAAGCCAGGTTAAAGGAAGAAATGTTGAACCAGAAATGAAATGAGGAGGCCTAAGAATCATGCTGCATGTAGACAGAATCATGGTGCATATAGACAGAAAATCAGCGCACAAAGCTCAGCTGAATAATAAACAACATTTCATATTTCTGTAATATCTGTAGCAGAAGTTGCTAGTTGCCTGCCCAACATCCCTTCTCACCTTTTCCTTCCTAGTTTAACCACATGTAACCTATTGTTTAGGGGGTAGACAACGTGCTCAACTACAACACTACATTCCCCAGACTCTTCCAGATGGGGAGGCCCCTGAGATGTAAGCTGAAGTCATTGGTGGGATTTCCAGAAAGGATCCTTAAAGGGAGCTCACAGCTGGCAGTCCCCTTTTGCCATTCCTTTTCCTCTTTCTTCCTGCTTGCAATGTGTTGAAAGGCAGGAGCTCTGGGAGCCACCTTGTGATCAGGAGGACAATACCCATGCTCTATGGGGAAGAAGACAACAGGAGGAACCCTGGGCCCCTAGTGATGTTGTGGAGTCTCCACCCTGTCCCAGACTGGTCACTGCTGGGCATTTTACTAAGGAAGAGAAAAATAAGCCCTATCTCGGCCTATCTAGGATTTCAAACAGAGCACAGTGCAGACCCAAGTGATCACCCACCTTGACCCCTGGGAGCTGCCTCTTCCATTTCTACCACAAGACCATAGTCTTGGAGACTAACTTCTTGGATCCTTAAAATAGCAACATATTGCTGCGAATTCCAGTCAACAGCCTATAATATCATGGGGCTCTAGCCCGCACCAGGGCTGAATCATACTTGGATTCCTTTGCAAAACCTAAGGGCAGCTAAGGAAATTCAGGCATAACTTCCATATCTGTTGTCCCAGCCCCTAGTCAACCTACAAACCCCTCTTGTTAGCCCCCTATTTCTCCCCCTTATCCCCACACGGTTCAGGATCCCTCCTCTTGATGCCAACCCCCACTGTTTCAACCCCCCCCATCATACATGCTCCATTGTCTGGTACACAACCCCTTCCATCATCATTCAAGCCAAAGGTTTCTTCCTCCATCTCTCAAGCTTAGCTGAAACTGGACTCTCTCCCAGGGACACCTGTCTCCCTGCAGCCTTAGCCAATGGCAGCTGCTCTTTTCCCCACACTGTACATATGGCAGGATCTGGAGTTGAGGCATTCCCTTCCCTCCACTCTTATTCACAGTCTGGTTTCTCTACTTCAATGTCAAAGCCACTGTTCTGTAGAGATGTGGTTAAATATTCTACAGCCCTGTGTCTTTCCAAGCCATTGTCATCAACCACAGTGGTGATATCTGTGCAAATACCCACCCAAGATTCTAGCCTCACAGTTCTTAACCTCCTCTACCCCGTCACTGTCACCTCCTCCTCAGTCACCACACAGTAGCCACCCTGGATTTGACCATTGCTGCTGAACTTTTTTTTTTTAAACTTAGTAATCAGTATATAATTATATATTTACATTTTACTTTATATAATATCATAGCCAAGGAGACTGACCACAATTTCCAATTTTATCCGCAGCTACTTTTGCTATTTATCAAATATGAAGCTCTTCACTCTTACCATTTTATTGCAGTGACTTCTAAAATTTGTTTAGACAGTAATAATTAAGTGCCTTTTATCTTTGTCAGAATAAATTAAAAAATTCAATAGCATATTGAAGATACTACTAAAGATACTTCACTTTTCAAGTTTGTTTTTTTTTTTTTGGCTTGGGGGGCCGCCGACCCCGCTGCACCGTGCATGCCCACATAATGCTACCACAGCACCCTGCAGCCATTCACTTTTCCATTATGTCCTCTGCACTGAAGACCTGTAAGAATTTTTCTAAATAATTTTAAAGTCTTCCCACAACTTCTTTGTTCAAAGAAATATCATCTTCAAAATAATCTGTGTGACTACCTTACAAATCAAAACTGATGCACGAGGACTTATCACCACAGTTACTGATTTTAACAAGTCTCTTAACTATGTTCTGCATCAGTTTGATAGCATCAATAATTTAGACACATTTTTAACATAATAGAAATGCTAAACTACATCAATTTCCCATCAACCCACTAAAGTCATTTAATGATGATTATACTGGCCATTTCCACTGACGGGCAGGAGGCTCTTCTAGTAATGGCTCCCGTGGTTACCATTACATCATTTTTCTTGCCAGATTTAGTTCATTTGGAGCCTGAAGAATCACCTCTTCTATTTGGCCATTCTGAAGTTGGTCTTCTAATTTTTTAACATCTGGTTCTGCTTTAACCATCGTCAGCTTCTCATTTGTAATCTGTTCTGTATAATTTCTATACACTGCATTTTTAGGCATTTGCTCAAGAACATTAAGAATCTTTGTATATAATATTCTTAGCCTCCCAGTAATCTTCTTCAGTATACCTGCCTGTCACCTGCAGTGACAACTGCCTGTGAGCTCTTGTACTCCAACATCCCACTGGGCTTCCTGGTCTCTCCTCTTCTTACTCCCTCTGCGCTTACTCTTTGGCCCTATTCCCTTGACATCTCAATTTATCCCCATCTCTTGGCTTCTTCCTGGCTTGACTTTCTTCTCTAACAAAATATAACCAGAACCCATCCTCTCTTTAACGACATTCTTGTCGATGCCCCTCAAGGCCCAGGCTGTTATGTCCTTCCATCACCACCAGGCAGAGCCTCCCACTGCCCAACTTCCTTCTTTGCTCTGTTGTGTTTCCAGATTGCTAAGCATAGAGAAAATTACACAGCTGTGCAGACTAGGCCTTCAAGTAAACCCTGATCTTCAACTTTCCATTAACCTTCGTGCTGCCCAAGTTACCACTGAGTAGCATTTGCCTGTTTCCTTCAGTACACTAGATGACATTCACTAGATGTCCCCACATCCTCCAGCCTGATGGGTTAATATCCACATATTGAAATAATCATGGCCTAAGCCCCCAGTTTTGCCTCCTGTCTAAGGCTATATGTCAAAGACTAGCTAAAGCCCTGCGTTGAAGATTTTGAGACTGCATCAGCAAGGAAGGGTACTGAATGATGTTGTTAGGAGTTTTCAAAGGCAAGGAAGTAGGCACCTGTCAGCATATGTGACCCAGGTGGCATGACCCTCTCCCTTCCTGTTCCACAGGCAGTATTGGTCAGGAACTCTGTGGAAGTGAAGAAATTAACCAGGAGAACAGCCCTCACTCTTTCAGGCTATGTGGTCCTTGGCCTGCAAGGATCCTC